GCAAGTAAAATGTATTCGTAACCATTAGACTTGGGAAATGGTCCCATAAAATCAATGCCCCAAACATCAAAAATTTCGACTTGAAGGTTATTAGTCAAGGGCATCTCATTCCTGCGACCTATATTCCCAGTTCTTTGGCATCGATCACAAGAACGACAAAAAGTATGGGCGTCTTTAAAAAGTGATGGCCAGAACAAACCTGACTGTAATACCTTAAAGGCGGTTTTCTTACCGCCAAAGTGGCCCCCACAATGGAATGCGTGACAGAATGTGAGGACAGCGGCTTGTTCCTCTTCTGGTACACATCGTCTAAGCACCTCATCCTTCCCCATCTTGAAAAGTAATGGCTCGTCCCAGAAATAATCCCTACACACAGCAAGAAAACGCTTTCTCTCTTGGGAAGAGAGATTAGGCCGCAGTTTACCACAACACAAATAGTTCACAATGTCAGCATACCAAACACTTTTCGACACTTCATGCGCATGTTCATAAGGAAAATTATCATTAATAGAATGATGCGCAATCAATGAAGATGATGACTCAGAAGGTACAATGCGTGACAAGTGATCAGCAACTACATTTTCAGAACCTTTCCTATCTTTAATGTCAACATCAAATTCTTGCAGTAATAAGATCCACCGAATGAGCCGTGGTTTAGAATGAGTTTTGCTCAAAAGGTACTTCAAAGCCGCATGGTCTGAGTGAATAATGACTTTAGAACCCAAAATGTATGATCGAAATTTTTCAAGAGAAAAGACCACAACTAGAAGTTCCTTTTCGGTGGTAGTGTAGTTCTGTTGGGCCCCATTAAGAGTCAAACTAGCATAATAAATCACGCGAAGCAATTTATCAACCCGTTGACCCAAAACGGCTCCCACAGCAAGATTAGATGCATCACACATGATTTCAAAAGGAATCGACCAATCAGGGGCAATCACAATAGGGGCACTCACAAGCTTGCTCTTTAACTCATTAAAAGCACATAAACAAGCATCATCAAAGACATATGGCACATCTTGAGCAAGCAAATGACATAAAGGCTGACTAATCTTAGAAAAATCCTTAATAAACCTCCTATAAAACCCCGCATGCCCCAAGAAACTCCTAATTCCCTTAACATTCATAGGAGGGGGAAGTTTTTCAATCACATCAACTTTGGCCTTATCGACCTCAATCCCCCTACAAGAAACAATATGACCTAAAACAACTCCACTTCTCACCATAAAATGACTCTTTTCCCAACTCAAAGTCAAATTGGACTCAATGCAACGTTCGAGGACACGAGATAAATTACGGAGACAATGAGAAAATGAATCACCAAAAATAGAAAAGTCGTCCATAAATACCTGCAAGCAGTCCTCGAGCATATCGGAGAAGATAGAGAACATGCACCTCTGAAACGTACCCGGTGCATTGCATAGACCAAAAGGCATCCGTCTGAACGCAAAAGTACCAAAGGGGCACGTGAATGTCGTCTTGGGCTGATCCTCGGGTGCGATGGCCACTTGGTAGTAGCTGGAGAGCCCATCCAAAAAGCAGTAGAACTGATGGCCCGAAAGACGATCAAGTATCTGGTCGATAAACGGCAATGGAAAGTGGTCCTTCTTGGTCACAGCGTTCAGTCGCCTATAATCAATGCACATGCGCCACCCGGTAGTGATGCGGGTGGGGACCAACTCCTTTTTGTCATTCTCGATCACGGTTATGCCTCCCTTCTTTGGCACCACATGAATGGGGCTGACCCACTCACTGCTCGCCACCGGGTATATCAACCCCTCAGAAAACAATTTCAGCACCTCTTTCTTCACTACCTCCATCATATTCGGGTTTAGCCGTCGCTGGCTATCCCGAAACGACTTGGCTCCTTCCTCCAGGATAATTCGGTGCATGCATGTTGAGGGACTAATCCCCTTGATGTCTCCTAGACTCCACCCGATCGCTTTCTGGTTCTTTCGGAGCATGGATATCAGCTCCTCCTCTTCCTCACTGTCGAGCTCAGCGTAGATTATCACCGGCTTCTGATTGGCATCATCCAAGAAAACATACTTAAGGTGCTTAGGTAGCTCCTTAAGCTCAAGTGTGGTCTCAGCTCGGGTATGGCCTTCTCCTACTTCAAAAAGCTCCACTAAGGGCTCGTCCTCCTCCTCGAAACCCGGCAACGACTTGTCTTCGAACTCCTGAAATACCATCTCATCAACAAAGGAATCATCAAGATCAATAAAAGCACATTCTTCTATAAAGTTGACAGAAGATGAAGACATGGCTTCTCGGACAGAAATAGACACTGATTCCCCTAAAACCGTCATGTTCAGGGTCCCGTTCTTCACATCAATGAGAGTATTGGTCGTCGCCATGAAGGGTCTCCCGAGAAGGATGGTGTGATCTTTCCCGTTCTCGTGCACATCCCCGACGTCTAGAATGACGAAATCCACTGGAATGATAAGCTTACCAACCCTCACGAGAACATCCTCGACTATCCCCTTCGGGTACCTGATGGAACGGTCTGCTAACTGGAGGCACATGCGAGTCGGCCTCAAATCCCCAAGGCCAAGCCTCTGGAAAATCGAGAAAGGCATAAGATTAATTCCAGCTCCGAGATCGAGCATCCCCGAAGCTACCTTCCCATTTCCCAGAGCTATCTAAATGATGAAACCACCGGGATCTCGCTCTTTCTTGGGCAAGTCGTGCTGCATAGCACTTGCCGCCTCGTACACGACCACCTTCTCTCCATCTTCGAACTTCCTCTTTTTAGTCACCAAGTCTTTAAAGAACTTACCATATGATGGCATATTCTTAATCACATCAAGCAGAGGTAAGTTAACGTTCACCTTGGAAAGCATGTTAAAAAGGTCTCGGAACTGCTTCTCTTGTTTCTCGTTCCTAAGTCGGTCCGGAAAAGGAATGCGCGGCTTATACGGATTTGGCGATTTATGTAACACCGGCTCGTCTGTCACCTTCCCCGACTCTGCTTCTTCGATCTTTTCAGAAAGAGTCTCCTTATCCTCAGACTCGGGCATCTGAACCTTGTTGTCCACCTCCTTCCCGCTTCTGAGAACTGTTATAGCTTTAGCTTGTTCGGGCTGACTAGGTAGCTTGTCTTTGCTCCTCTCAGTCTAAATTGTACCCACCCGAGCGGCCAGTTGGCCCAATTGAGTCTCAATGCGCTTGATGGAGGCGTCCTGGTTGGCATCCCGCTGCTCCCTGTTCGCCATGAACTGTAAGATCTTGGCAACGTCCTCATGGAGGTTCGAGCTCGACCCCGCTTCGGGTCCCCTTTGCTGTTGCTGTGGCTGAAAGTTCGGCCGGGGCACAAAATTGGGTCGGGGTTGTTGTTGCATGAAGTTCGGACGGGGTGGCTGAAGGGTGTTGGAGTTGTTCGACCACGAGAAGTGCGGGTGGTTCCGCCAACCTGGGTTAAACGTGTTGGAATATGGGTCATTGGCCGGCCGATTCTGATATCCTTGTAAGGCACTGGCATCTGCATACTGCTCACTGGGGTCCTGCTCGAAAGATGAGGGGCATAATTCGGACCTATGCCCTGGGACTCCACACGCCCCACAAGTATCAATAGCGAATGTATTAACTGGCTGGGACCCTCGTGCGGTAAGCAGCCTCATCTGCTCAGTAAGTTCAGCTAGCTGTTGGGCCACTGCATCATTGCTTGTACCGACCTCGCTCACTACTGCCCTCTTGCCTCGCGTGCTCTTCTGAGACGAGTTGGTACTCATCGTCTCAAAGATCTCAAACATCTCCTCGGCTGTCCTTGCTCCGATATCACCTCCCGCCGCGTTGTCGACCATATACTGCAAGTTCTGGTGGAGGGAATCATAGAAGCCGTTCATGAGTAGCCCCGGGGAGAGGTTGTGATGAGGGCACTGCCGTTGGAGATCCTTAAATCGCTCCCAAGCCTCATGAAGAGACTCGTTCGGTAATTGAGCAAACGATACGATCTGTGACCGGAGCTCTTGAGTCTTCTGATGGGAGTAATATCTCCCAATGAACTTCGAGTACACCTCGGTCCATGTAGTGAGAGAGCCAGGTGCAAGTGTCATGAACCAGGCCTTGGCCCGGTCCTTCAGAGTCTCGGGAAAACACCTCAGCTTCAACTGGTCCTCGTTCAGCCCGTTGAGAGGAAAGGTGTTGAGCACATTGTAAAACTCTCGGATGAAGTTAAGCGGATCTTCACTCGGGAGCCCATGGAATGCTGGCAGCTGGTTGTAGTGAATCAATTTAAGCTCGTAATTTCGTACAGCGTCCGGCAAACGAATGCATGAAGTGACTGGCCCGATAACTGGTTGGGCTAAGTTTCGAAGGGTGTTACGGGGCGGTTGTTGCTGCTGTTCACCCATATTAGAGTTGCTACCTTCGGATGATTTTGGAGAATGTTCGTCCTCCTCCTTCGGTTCCAGAGTGAGTTCTTCCAGCAGCTCCCTCAGGCTCTCGTTAACTGATTTGTTGATCGGCGATAGCAGTTTGCGTCCACTCCTGGTACGCATACACTAAGAACAACAAGGTTACGAGCACCAATAATAGATAGAAGAAAATAAAAGAAAGAAATCAAAAGAAAACAAGAACTAACACCTAATAAATAAAAAGAAAATAAGAGAAACACGAAAAATAAGCGAATAGGCGCACAATTAAAGTCCTAAA